TTCCCCTTATTTGTTTGAAAGTACAGAATTTGGTGTAAGGAATATGATAGAAAATGCACTTACTGTCCCTGAGGGCTAGGTGGAGCTATTGCCAAATTACTAGTACTGTGTCTAGAATTAGAATGAATATATTTTCTAAACAGAATATTTGCTCAAAAACAGTCCACATGTTCTATAAATGAATCATTGCTTAACTATCTTTTATGCATGACAGAAGGATCAATGTCGAGGTGAAAGCAGGCAATAGCTTAACAACCATCAGAGGACATTGAATGGGAATAATCTATGGTAATAATGCAGTCTCACTGGTGACCTTGAGTTTCATATACAATAGAGGCTTTCAGAGCACTGAACAGCACCTAGAGTTTGAGTATTGTTTTCATGTTATGGTTATTTATTTCTTGTTTGCCATTTTGTAGGCAGTTGATTTTGCAGCCAATCACTTTTGAATGCTGCTCTTTTTCACTGCAGGCAGACAAAGGACAGGAAGAGGTCCACTTCATTTTGGATCACCACGGGGGGCGTGTGAATGTTCTCCAGAGAATAGTGACAGGAGGTAATCTCCCAAATGTCAATGAGGACCAAGGGCAAGCCCCTGAATATTGCCCTGAGGGCCATGTCCAGCTGCCAGGAGAGCCAGTCTCTGCCACCAAGAGTGTGCAAAGCTGTCATCAAGGCAAAGGGTGGCTATTTGAAGAATATTTTGATTTGTTTAACACTTTTTTGGTTACTACAATATTCCATATGTGTTATTTCATAGTTTTGATGTCTTCACTATTATTCTACAATGTAGAAAATAGTAAAAATAAAGAAAAATCCTTGAATGAGTAGATGTGTCCAAACTTTTGACTGGTAGTGCATGTGTCTCTCAATAACCTTTAAAACTATACTTACACCGGTGTCAGCAAATATGCACCTAAGCTGCCACAATTTTGATGGTGTTCAGAAATACCTACAAATTTGTTGAAATGTTTTTGCGCGTATGCTTTACAATGTTTTATGCTGCATAATCTGTAATGATAATCTAACAATAAATCAGTTGCATGTAATAGTTTCATTTAATAAAGTGTAGCGTAGGTGATTTTGAATCACACTTGTGATGAGGTAGCCCTGCCTGAGAGTTGTAAGACCAAATGACACCCTTGGAGCTTGAAGAGTCCTCATGGTCTACTCTAATGCTACTTTCAAATGCTCTTCGGACGTGGGAAATACAAGGTTTTGACTGGGGAAATACCTCTTGAACGACCTTCCCAAATCAGAATATTCCGAGTGGGAAAATCTGAGATAATTTTGATACAGAGTTTACAAGTTGTGCCATTTCATCACTGACCTTTCACTTTTTCAACCAAAAGATGATAAAGCAAATCAATTTTTTACATCATCAAATGTGTATATCAATGTGGATAATGAAGCAAGTTTGACCATATTGTCAATCTAGCTAACTTTATCATTAGCAATGTTAGCTAGCCCATCTAGCTAGCTAAAATATCATTGTTTGAAGAATTGTTCCAACTTCAAAAGCACTTGAAGGCATCATAATGGTTACCATGTTGGATTGGCAAGCGGGAGACCCGAGTTACATATCCAGATTAAAACATAACAGGGGTGGGGGCAATTCCTATAATTCAAATTCAAATTCCCTCTGCCTGTAAATTCCATAAATTAAAATGAAATTCCATCTCAATCTTGTAATCCATAGTTAATTAAATTCCTTTCAATTCCAATGTTGGGTAAATTCCAAAAATATAATTCCCAATTCGATATTATCCCCAACAATTCCATATATTCCAATTCTAATTCAATTCCCTCAGGCTGTCAGGCTGATACTGTCACTGTTCAGACAGCCCAGCTATACTGGAAATACATCATTACAAATTGAAATGATTTAAAACAAACCCCGGAGTCAAATTTGATACCATAATTTCTATTAACTGGGAAATGCACAAATAGCCCCCCCAAAAATACATTTTCAATGTCGGGATTCAATTCCTACGGTGGTGTATTGCTGGCACTCAGAAATACATATTTTTCATATCATTATTACTAGATAAGAGAACGTTATTATGAAATAATTCAATAACTCCTTATCACAAAATAATCCATTATCTCGTTATTATGAGAAAGATAACATTATAATGAGAAAGATGACATTATTACGAAATAATTCGGTTGCACAATATTATGAGAAATAGCCTTTATTATGTGGAAACGTTAGCATAGGCTACTTGTCAAGCTTGGCTTACTCTCATGCACAGTTTGACATAATGGCCGGTTTGCTTGAGTTGATAAACTTTTATTTTTCTCCTCGGTTTGAGGTATTGGGAGATATTTGAGACCACTTGCGAAAGTATTCCACCCCCCCCCCACCAGCATTTTTCCAATGTTGTTGCCTTACAACCTGGAATTAAAATGGATTTTTGTGGGGCTTGTATCATTTGATTTACACAACATGCCTACCACTTTCAAGATGCAAAATATATTTGTGGGTGAAACAAACAAGAAATAAGACAAAAAAAACAGAAAACTTGAGCGTGCATAACTATTCACCCCCCCAAAGTCAATACTTTGTAGAGCCACCTTTTGCAGCAATTACAGCTGCAAGTCTCTTGAGGTATGTCTCTATAAGCTTGGCACATCTAGCCACTGGGATTTTTGCCCATTCTTCAAGGCAAAACTGCTCCAGCTCCTTCAAGTTGGATGGGTTCCGCTGGTGTACAGCAATCTTTAAGTCATACCACAGATTCTCAATGGGATTGAGGTCTGGGCTTTGACTAGGCCATTCCAAGACATTTAAATGTTTCCCCTTAAACCACTCGAGTGTTGCTTTAGCAGTATGCTTAGGGTCATTGTCCTGCTGGAAGGTGAACCTTCGTCCCAGTCTCAAATATCTGGAAGACTGAAACAGGTTTCCCTCAAGAATTTCCTTGTATTTAGCGCCATCCATCATTCCTTCAATTCTGACCATTTTCCCAGTCCCTGCCGATGGAAAACATCCCCACAGCATGATGCTGCCCCCACCATGCTTCACAATGGGGATGGTGTTCTCGGGGTGATGAGAGGTGTTGGGTATGCGCCAGACATAGCGTTTTCCTTGATGGCCAAAAAGCTTAATTTTAGTCTCATCTGACTAGAGTACCTTCTTCCATTTGTTTGGGGAGTCTCCCACATGCCTTTTGGCGAACACCAAACGTGTTTGCTTATTTTTTTTTAAAGCAATGGCTTTTTTCTGGCCACTCTTCCGTAAAGCCCAGCTCTGTGGAGTGTATGGCTTAAAGTGGTCCTATGGACAGATCCTCCAATCTCCGCTGTGGAGCTTTGCAGCTCCTTCAGGGTTATCTTCGGTCTCTTTGTTGCCTCTCTGATTAATGCCCTCCTTGCCTGGTCCGTGAGTTTTGGTGAGCGGCCCTCTCTTGGCAGGTTTGTTGTGGTGCCATATTCTTTCCATTTTTTAATAATGGATTTAATGGTGCTCCGTGGGATGTTCAAAGTTTCTGATAATTTTTTATAACCCAACCATGATCTGTACTTCTCCACAACGTTGTCCCTGACTTGTTTGGAGAGCTCCTTGGTCTTCATGGTGCCCCTTGCTTAGTGGTGTTAAAGACTCTGGGGCCTTTCGGAACACCATAATTTGCAAATAAATTCATTAAAAATCCTACAATGTGATTTTCTGGAAAAAAAATTCTCAATTTGTCTGTCATAGTTGACGTGTACCTATGATGAAAATTACAGGCCTCTCTCATCTTTTTAAGTGGGAGAACTTGCACAATTGGTGGCTGACTAAATACTTTTTTCCCCCACTGTATATAAAAAAGAATAATGTATGCACTCACTAACTGTCTGCTAAATGACTAAAATGTAAATGTAAAATGTAGATTGCACACAGGTGGACTTTATTTTACAGTGGGGAAAAAAAGTATTTAGTCAGCCACCAATTGTGCAAGTTCTCCCACTTAAAAAGATGAGAGAGGCCTGTAATTTTCATCATAGGTACACGTCAACTAGAACTTGCACAATTGGTGGCTGACTAAATACTTTTTTCCCCCACTGTACATGATCCAGCATCTCAAAAGGTTATTTGGGATGCCAAAAGATCATTAATCCATGACTACAGTATAAAAAGTGGCTTTATTCACACCACTTACAATTCAGAGGTGGGTTGTAACTTATTACTTCAGGGTTAAGTTCCCCTAGGTAAAGATCTAGGATCAGCTCCCCCTCCAACAATCCTTAATCATTAGTGGGAGAAATACAAAGCTGACCCAAGATCACCATCTAGGGATAACTTCAACCTAATTTATCACACCTTTCAGTGTCTTTGTACATACCACCCTCTGATGGACGAAATGAGTACATACAGAAAATAGAAGCACCCAATTTCTAAACACATGATAAAATGCTGTTATACAGTTTACATATCACTTATTCAAACTAATGAATATATATTTTAATAAATGTTTTATCTAAAACTGCTGTGGTAGGAAAAGGTATTGTTCCACATTGTACATAATGTATATAATCCTTTAAATGCAATTGACCTGAACTAGCTATACTGCGACACATACCTGAACCTCAAAGCAATGTTGTAGTGACATGATAAAGTAAATCAGATTGTAAGCAGCACTTACACCCACAGACTTAAGGCACAAGATCTCTACTGGGCACAAGTAACATGTCTACATATAAAGACAAAACATTTGGAAATAAAGGAGGTAAAATACATTTTGACCACTGATAAATAGATGAGCTCTTATGGAGGGTTTAGAAAACACTGATACGGCCATTTGGGACAGCACATTAACTACAACACCCAAATCATGTTCTACTTATAATGATAGGAGACTAGCAACAGTTCATAAGTGGCTGTGGTGCAGAGGCAAAGAAGTCGCTTGTGGTCAATGTCAATGTACCTGTGGGTATACCGGTAGTGTGATCTCAGTGATGGGTAATGGTCACTGGCGAGGACTGTGGAGACTGATAATGTTGGTTGGCTGTTATAGTTACTGGTGGTGGTGGGTGCGGTCATCAGGGCATTTGATGTGGATGCGGCGTACTCTCTCGATGCGTTCCCGTTCCTCGTCCTCGTCCAGATGGTGGGATCGGCCTGCAGCGCCCCCTGTAGCCTCCAGTAGAGCGTTGACTGGACCACGCCCGTCCTGAGACTCATACAGCAGGATGTTAAGCGTCTCCTCATAGATACGAGCCTCTGGGAACTCCACCTGAGGAAAGAGAATACTGTTTAGACCACTGCTCTAGGTACAAAGACAAGACTACTCACTGACAACCAGGCTAGTCTATGATTTGGTCAAAGCAAGAAACATTCATATCTTCCTTTTCTGTGGTCGTGCTGTGGGAAACTGCATACCTTGGTTTGCTTCTTCTCTGTGGCATAGACTATGGAGGTGCAGCACACCTCAGCGATCTTACGGCCCTGCCCATAGAATGACCAGCAGCAGATCTCATCCCCAATCACATCCTTGATGAAGAGCACACGGCCGTTGAACCGCAGAGAGAGCTTGTCAAACAGCTCAATGTTCTTCAACATGTTGTCATCTGAGTTGCTGTGAAAAGGTAATGACACCAGATGTTTATGTCTAGTTGTCAATCTGTTCAAATCGCTATGTACATCAGTCTATCCATGATACAATCCAATTCACACATACATGTAAGAAATACAGTATAAGCTCATTATAAGTATTTTACCACAATCATATGTAATGTTTAGCCTACCTGGTGTAAGAGTACTTGTTGTTGCTCCTGTTGTATAACAGCTTGACTGTGGGCTGTAATCCAAAATAAAAAAGGAACAGAGGTAGTCAGGGTTGAGAAACATGTATGTCAAATCATACATGTCAATTGTGAAATATTATTTTTTACCTTGGAGGTAGAGATTAGTCTCTGTTCTTCCTTTGAGGATGTGACCAAGGGCACTTTACAGAAGGGCTCATACATATCTTTGTTCTGAAAGCATGGAGGAAACAGGACCCAAATAATTCAATGAGTACAGTGGCCATACCAGCATGAAGAGAAAGAGAGACACCAAGATAGAGATTGATTACAGGTAAGTGTTTACAGTGTGTTAAGGTAATACACAATACAGTGGAGGTTGATGGGAGGAGCTATAGGAGGACAGGCTCATTGTAATGGCTGGAATGGAATCAATGGAATGGAGTCAAACATGTGGTTTCCATATGTTTGATACCGTCTATTTATTCCATTCCAGCCATTATAATGAGCCTGTCCTCTTATAGCTCTTCCCACCAGCCTCCACTGACACAATACCTCCAAGGCAGCGTGGCACTCGTCAGCTAGCCCCTGCACCAGGTAGTACTTGGCCTCTGCCAGGAGCTCTTCCACCTCTCTCCGGATTTCAGGCAGAGGTACAGAACCATCACGCAGGTAGTTCAGAATGGTCCCAAAGTGCTTTCCACACCTGTCAATAAGGATCCAACCTGCAGGAGAGGTCAGGATTCATTACATTGAGAAGTGGCAGAGACAACACAGTGGAGATAGTAGACTGTGTGTGTATCTTCATTTAGAGCCATATCAGATGGGAGGCATGCAAGGGGAGCTATCAGATGGGAGGCATGCAAGGGGAGCTTGTTTGTAAAACTGATAGAATTGTATCCTATGCAGCATCAAGGAGCATGGACTTTACAGGACTCAAGACTTTGCAGTGGACAAAAGGTTTGGGAAACCCTGGCTGCAGTCAACCCATGTCATCATCAATGCCTTCTCCACAGATAGAACAAGGAGCTGTATAAATCTGAAACATCCCGTTGAAATTTCCACTCCCCATCAAATATGGTGAGGAGAGGAAGCCCAGTGGCCGGCGGTGGGAGAGTATGGAGCGAGATGGAACTGGGCTGACATTCTGCTGATTTTCTCATCTAAGAAAAGCCCGATCTCAATACAGTTTTCAGTTCCCAAAACTAGAATCTGTTACGAACAGAGTGAACTAAGTTTTGTAGATGTGGCCCCTTTGCCAAAGCTTACATTTTCAAATTGTGTTGTTAACAAGAACTGCAAGGACAAATTTAGTTATTGCACATGCGCACTTCACAGAGAAGGTGTTCCCTAATGGAAATATGCAAATACATGCTAGAATGCGCCACTAGGATCTCGCTAACTCGTGCTTGGCTGTGCCCAAAACGACACAGATGAACTTTCTTGGTTTAGTTATAAATATCTTTGCCTTCGCTGTCTGTGAGGACCTCCATCCTGCCACTGAACATGGCCTTGAGCATGGTGTCCTGCTTGGTGAGGGTCTGCATGGTGGTGTAGTAGAGCGCCCCGCCCACATTCAGCTTCACATACTTCGAGCTGGGGCAGGAGCCCTTGAAGGAGGTGGTACGGGTTGTAGACGCTGGCAACGCCGAGCTCACCGCACTTACTCCTGACATCTCTTCCTGTGGATCCAAACAGTCCAAATGGAAGTCATGATAATGCAATGGTATTCACAGATGTTATCAATCAGGCACCCCAAATAAATTGCATAATAACTATCTAGCTGGTTTGTTGTTTATATCATCGTTTATAGCTAGCAGAAAAGTACACAGAACAAAACCTGTTCTTAAACTAGCTAAATAGTTAGCTATTCTGGGTTCTCAGAATGGGGTCAATGTGACAAGTCTGTACTAGCTAACGTTAGTCATCAAAAGTTCATTAGCAAGCTAATCATAGAAAACAATACTTATACTAACTAGCTAAGGGACTTAACTCCAGGTTTAACATACACTCAGTGTACAAAACATTAGGAGCGCCTTCCTAACATTGAGTTGCACCCCCTTTTTCCCTCAGAACAGCTTCTATTCGTCGGGGCATACACTACAAGGTGTCGAAAGCGTTCCACAGGGATGGATGACAGTGTAGAATTTTATCAACCAGGAAATGACAGAGAGATTTACACTAGAGAACACTGTCACAAAGTCAGAACAGCTTTCTCCTTTTGACAACAAATGCCGCTCTGGCGCGAGAAATCAATAGTCGAATATCACAGCCAATCACAACACTGCTGGCGGGTAAGTAGCTACTACCACAACTTTGGTAATACTGTGAAACACTATCATTCCACTATTAGTGCCAGATATATTGTGGAAATTTTCTGAAATAACAATGCAAAAAAATCCTATGTGTAGCACCTTTAAATATGTCGAACCTGGAGTTAAATCCTTTCTTACTAGCTATAATAACGTTAATTTACATATTCTAACTAGCTGTAGTAGCTACTTAATAGTTATCTAGTTATTTGGATGTACATTTCTAACTCTGGTCTGGCTAGCTAACTGACTTCATTTGAATGCTACTGACTCCCGAGTGGCGCAGTGGTCTAAGGCACTGAATTGCAGTGCTAGCTGTGCATCAAGAGATCCTGGTTCGAATCCAGGCTCTGATGTAGCCGACCGGGAGACCCATGGGGCGACGCACAATTGGCCCAGCGTCGTCCAGGGTAGGGGAGGGAATGGCCGGCAGGGATGTAGCTCAGTTGGTAGAGCATGGCGTTTGCAACGCCAGGGTTGTGGGTTCGATTCCCACGGGGGGCCAGTATGAAAAATATATTTTAAAAAATGTATGCACTAACTGTAAGTCGCTCTGGATAAGAGCGTCTGCTAAATGACTTAAATGTAAAAAAGAATGACGCCTTTACAGAATACAAATATTTCTGTAATACTGTAAAAGAAATGTGGCAAAGCAAGTAACTTTTTGTCCTGCATACATTTACATTTTAGTCATTTAGCAGACGCTCTTATCCAGAGCGACTTACAGTTAGTGAGTGCATACATTTTTTTTTCTTCCATACTGGTCCCCCGTAGGAAACGAACTCACAACCCTGGCGTTGCAAACGCCATGCTCTACCAACTGAGCTACACGGGACTATCCAAATTGTTATGTATGGAACAAATCCAATACAACAATTTATTGAGTACCACTCTCCATATTTTCAAGTATAGTAGTGGTTGCATCATGTTATGGGTATGCTTGTAATTGTTAAGGACTGGGGAGTTTTTCAGGATAAAAAAGAAACGGAATGGAGCTAAGCACAGGCAAAATCCTAGAGGAAAACCTGGTTCAGTCTGCTTTCCACCAGACACTGGTGGAAAGCAGGACAATAACCAGCAGGACAATAACCTAAAACACAAGGCCAAATCTACACTGGCGTTGCTTACCAAGAAGACAGTGAATGTTCCTGAATGGCTGAGTTACAATTCTGACTTAAATCTACGGCAAAACCTTAAAATGATTGTCTAGCAATGATCAACAACCAATTTGAAAGAGCTTGAAGAATTTTGAAAAGAATAATGGGCAAATGTAGCAGAATCCAGGTGTAGAAAGCTCTTAGAAACATACCCAGAAAGACTCACATCTGTATTCTCTGCCAAAGGTGCTTCTACAAAGTGATGACTGTGTAGCAGTCTTATGGCCTGGAGATAGAAGCTGTTTTTCAGTCTCTTCGTTCCAGCTTTGACGCACTTGTACTGTCTCTGCCTTCTAGATGGCAGAGGGCTGAACAGGCCATGGCACGGGTGGCTGTCCTTGATGATCTTCTTGGCCTTCCTGTGACACCCGGTGCTCCCCCGGTGATGTGTGTGGCTGACTGCATCACCCTCTGGAGAGCCCTGCGGTTGAGGCCGGTGCAGTTGCCGTACCAGGCGGTGATACAGCCCGACAGAATGCTATCGATGGTGCATCTGTAGATGTTCATTAGGGTCTTAGGGGTCAAGCCACATTTTTTCAGCCTCCTGAGGTTGAAAAGTCGCTGTTGAGCCTTCTTCACCATGCTGTCGGTGTGAAGGGACCATTTCAGTTCCTCAGTGATGTGCATGCCGAGGAACTTGAAGCTTTTGACCGTCTCCACTACAGCCCATCGATGTGGATGGGGGCTCTCTCTGCTGTCTCCTGTAGTCCACGATCAGCTCCTTCATTTAATTTTTTTTACGTTGAGGGACAGGTTATTTTCCTGGCACCACTCCGCCTGGGCTTTCACCTCCTCCCTGTAGGCTGTCTCGTCATTGTTGGTAATCAGGCCTACCACTGTTGTGTCGTCAGCAAACTTGATGATTGAGTTGGAGACGTGTTCAGACCCAGGGCCCTGAGCTTAGTCATGAGCTGGGGCACTTTTTCAGTCACATTCCTGAAGCCCAAGAAACAAACACTTAGCTTCTTAGTATATATTGAAACTAAAAAGGTTTATGAATGAATGACTTTTTGGAGGGTTACTGTCAAAATGATTTATTTCATTAAAAGAATAGACATCGATGACAGGCGCATGGGCCCCCAGACCTTGTGGGCCCTCCCGTCTTGAGGGGGTTGTGAGAGTGTCATTTACACCAGTGCCAACAATGTGTAAGTAAGTTGCCTTGCACAAGCCTTGGCAAGGCTCATAGGAGCAGGAGCCCATCTCCTGTTTCTGTAGCGTGAGGCAGCTTGATGTACAAGTACACCCCCTGGACAGGACGCTAGTCTATAGCAGGGCATCGCTTGCTGTGTGGTTTTGGAAGCATAAGGAATGTATCTTCCATATCAGTGAGAAGCAGAGATGCATCAGGTCCCATTTTTACAGTCTTTGGTATGACTCAGCCAGGGATCAAACTCCCAACCTTACAATCTCAGTGTGGACACTCTAACAACAAGGCCATTGAGTTGGGAATCCAACAATGTGTACGCCATCATATTGTCTATTTCAGATCTTCTCTCATTGATTGAGACAGGTTAGTGTCATTCAAAGCGACGCTTGATTTCTGAGTCGAGCTCATGATATGCAGCACTTTGGGGTGGATACCCACCGTTCTCGATCAATGAAAGAAGATATAAAATAGACAATATGGCGGCGTACACATTGTTGAATTACCTCATGGAGCAAAAGTACATTTTCACAACTCTCATTTGTAAAATCAATTTATAGACCGAAGTGATAAGCCCAATTTTAAAACATTCCCCTCTTTTTTTTTTTTACCAATTCTGTATTTTGGATGTAAATGGCATGTTATAGAAGTCCAGACACTTTTTTGCGATTTCACTTGGTTTTGAGAGAAACTTGCCCAACCAGCAATAGACCTCCTCATGCAGGTCTTTAGATGTTGTACATATGAAATTGTGTCATTCCAATTTAATGTGTACAACATCTAAAGACCTGCATTGCTATACTGAGAGCTAAAAGGACATATTTGGGTGATTATGGAGCCTTTGTTAATGTTTTATCTATGGAAATCTGGCGTCATGCCAGACTTGTCCAATGGATCAGCATGAGGTCATTTAAACACAACACAATAAGTTTTGCACTGCGCCAATAACAATGTATCTATCAATGCAGTACTAACAACAAGCAATATAATACATTATTGACAGGTGCATATTGATATAACTGACAAGGCTCCATCTGCCTCTGCATATTTTACCTTTCATCAATTTGTTACACACAGACATGAAAAAAGACAAGGTTAGGCAACTATTCATCAAAATAGGAAGTTTATACAGCTAAATACATATACAGGCACTTTCACCATTTCAGAGAAGAAAGGCAGATAAGGCTAGTTCACTACAGTTAAACAGCTGACTCATGACACCACACGTTTTCCTCCAGAGCAAGTCTTCCTCTGCCTGATAAACACTTTACACTTTGATAAAGGGGCCCCTGAGGTTTGCTCCCACACATAAATTAGATATAACGGTAGCTACATGTTAAAACTTGCGTAGAAACCTGTCTGTTTTGTTACTTTGTTCAAGGGACCTCCATCTTTAGTCCTTTGATACTGGTGCTTCATGGAAGCAGGAAATGGAAGAGAGAGTACAAGAGTTAATGAGGCTTACTGGCTGGGTTATTATGTTTCAGGGATGGCACTCTAATTCCATGACTGGTTGTGTTCATGCCAAATGAAAGGTAATACATGTAGTTTACCGTTAAATTACGTCTTTACTGTTAGACCCATAAAAAATGCACACATATGAGGTCCTGCGAGAGAAATTGAGACCCCCGAATGTCATGGTATAATTCGTACTCTGCATAGACCTTTGATCGTTCAAGCCTTTATTGTGTGTGTGTGTTTTTTTAAAATATATATTAGCAGTTGGTGGCTATGGCTAGTTAAACAAACCCAATCTCTCTTTGGCATACAAATGAAGTGGTCTGCTCCGAAAGTTAACCAACAGAAATGGTTGAAGCCGAACATCTAAGTAACTGCCTCGATTCTAACTCAATGAAGTCCATGTTCTCTAATATGTGGTTCCTTTGAAAATATTGAGAAAGACAAGCTAAAACAAGGTTAGATAATGGTCTTTATTTTTTAAAAGTTATCAATAAACTTTTTTTGTGTTTAAGAAAAGTGTTTTTTTTAAAGTGATTTCAGCCAAACCTGTAGGGTTCGTCCTTCCTGTTCTATGTTTAAGTTGAGGGACTTTCAACCTA